GACTTTGAGAATTTGTGAGAACATTAAACAAATAATTTTCCTTGTTATACTTTTCCAGTTTTTAGTCTTGTAATGATGTACATCAACGAATCCTCTGTTCATATTCCCAATTTCCCATGACCGGAAACGGAGTCGAATTTTGCCATACAACACGGTCGCGATGACAACACCGCATGCCGATGAAGGTGTCGGCATTCTATTGATGATTTTTATATAATAAGACACTTGAAAAGTGGGGAAACAATTAAAAAAAGAAGAAGTAAAAAAAATTAGTTCTAAAGCATCGTGCTGTCGTGTGAGCCAAGTAGATTAAAGTATTTCATAAATTCTCTACATTATACAAAAACACGCGTGTGCACATGTATTTGGCAAATTGTCTCAGTCAAGCAATATCCGATCCTATCACTTTTTTTTTTTTTTTTTTTCCGATCCTATCCTATCACAATTCCTAACTTCTTTTATACTCGTGATCGTGATTAATTTCTTATATTTTTTTCTTCACTGTTTTAAAATTCTCATGTTCCAATTTAAATTATAAGAACTTCAATGGTATCAATTTGTTTTAAAAATTTCAACCAATGCATTTAAAATTTGACTAAAACTAATCGAGAATAAAAAGTTGACCAAAAACAAGTCTTGATACAATTATTTGAATGATGAAAAAAAAAGAAAAAAGATACAATTATTTGAATAGGCTGAATAATGACAAATTGACAACAATCGCTCATAACAATTAAACTCACATTTAATAAAATCTGAACATTTCAAAAAATTAAAAAATTAAAAGAGAATTCCATGAATGAAGAGATAGAGAGACTGAGAGAGAGTTGTGGAAAAAAAAATCTAACTTTGGTCGACGAAAGGCGGCTAAGTTGGTTATTGACATTTAGCTTTTATTTTGAATTCGTTTATACATCTCGATGATGTGACTCACTCTACGTGAGCGTTTAATCAGTCAAATCTGCTACAACCGAAAAAATAAAAATCTCCCCTTTGCTTTCAATTTTCCGTCCGCAACCCTTTTTGATTCCATTCAAAGCTTTGCCTAAAGTCAATCTTCATCAGTTTCTCCTGATTCCTTCACTGAATTCCGGCGAAAGTTTTGATTTTTTCCGGTTCTAATCACTCTGATCTCTGTTTTCTGTTCTGGGGGATTTCACAGTGTGCGTGGTTTTCGTGAACTGGGTTTTTCCCGCTGAGCCGTTGAAGTTGTGGTGTTGTGTGTTTGTTCTGAGTGGATTGAAATTAGGGTTTAGATTTTAGGGAAGTGAATGGATTGGATTGTGAATAAAGGTTAAGTTTTTCCTATTGATTGGTTATGTATGATTATGTGTATAGATTCATGTTCTAGAGCTTGCGAATGGGTTGCGTAAATTCTAGGCATAGGCCTTTTAGAAGAAAGTCAACAACACTGAAAGAGTCATCGGAGGAGAAACGTTCCTCGCGGATTGATTCGTCGAGGAGGATAGATGACTGGATCCAACCGGAAGGTGGGTTTGATAGATCGAGTAGCAGGGGAGATGCTAAAGTTAAGTTGATTGAATCCGAAAAGTTTAGTTCAAGTAGGTTTCATGATCATCAGAATGGGAAGATATTAGAGAATCCTCAGATAGTTGATCATATGGATAGAGTTGTGCATGATCAGGAATTGACAAGGGCCTCTAGTGCTGTTGTAGACCCGGACTTGGAGATTGATCCAAAGGTTGTAAAAGCCAAGTTAGATAGATGGAATAGCAAAGATTCCAAAGTTCGGTTGATTGAATCCGAAAAGTTGAGTTCCAGTATGTTTTCTGAGCATCATCAGATTGAGAAGGGAGTAGAGAAACCTGAGGTTAAAGCTTCGGTTCGAGTGGTTCCTCGGGAACTGAAGAGGGATTCAAGCATTGTTGGTCCAAAGGAAAAAGAGCGGAAGCAAGTGGCAGCAGGATGGCCGTCTTGGCTGGTCACGGTTGCTGGTGAGGCACTAGTGGATTGGGCTCCACGCCGAGCAAATACTTTTGAAAAACTGGAGAAAGTAAGTTTCTTTTGTTAACACTCTTTGATCCAGATCCTGTTTTTGTTTGATATAACCTTCTTTATTTATGGATGCAGATTGGCCAAGGAACATATAGCAGCGTATATAGAGCTCGCGATCTTCTTCATAACAAGATTGTTGCGCTAAAGAAAGTCCGGTTTGATCTTAACGATATGGAAAGTGTTAAGTTTATGGCAAGAGAGATCATAGTAATGCGACGGCTTGATCATCCTAATGTCCTGAAATTGGAAGGGTTGATCACTGCCCCTGTTTCATCGTCCCTTTACTTAGTTTTTGAGTACATGGATCATGATCTATTAGGACTTTCTTCCCTACCCGGTGTCAAGTTTACAGAGCCTCAGGTACTGCACATAAATGTTGAACTACCTAATGTAGAAAGCATAGATTTTCTTTCTGCTTCAAAATCCCTTTCTTTTATGTTTCTGTTGTTTAGGTTAAATGTTACATGCGACAACTTCTAAGTGGGCTTGAACATTGTCACAGCCGCGGCGTTCTTCACCGCGATATAAAAGGCTCAAATCTACTGATTGACAGTAAGGGAGTCTTGAAGATAGCAGACTTCGGGTTAGCAACATTTTTCGACCCTGCAAAAAGTATTTCATTGACTAGCCATGTTGTCACTCTATGGTACCGGCCACCAGAACTTTTGCTTGGAGCCTCTCATTACGGTGTTGGGGTTGATCTGTGGAGCACAGGTTGCATCTTAGGTGAATTATATGCCGGTAAACCGATCCTCCCTGGAAAAACCGAGGTATGCAAATTCTCGTAGATTTCTTTTCCTCCAAATTCAGGTTGCATCTTGTTTGCTTCAACTCAAATGTAGCCCTTAATCTTTCTAGGTAGAACAATTGCATAAAATCTTCAAGCTTTGTGGTTCACCAACAGAAAATTACTGGAGAAAACAGAAGTTACCAGCTTCAGCTGGATTCAAAACCGCGATTCCTTATAGGCGGAAAGTATCAGAGATGTTTAAGGACTTTCCTGCAAGTGTTCTTTCGCTGTTAGAGACTTTACTCTCCATAGATCCTGATCACCGGAGCTCTGCAGATCGTGCCCTTGAGAGTGAGGTAACTGGTTCATGATGTTTTACTGTGTTTGGTTTCCTGAGATCATGGAAGCATTATTAGTCACAAAACTCTGTTTTTATTTCAGTACTTCAAAACCAAGCCGTTTGCTTGCGATCCATCGAACTTACCAAAATATCCTCCTAGTAAAGAGATTGATGCGAAAATGCGTGATGAAGCGAAAAGGCAACAACCCGTGAGAGCGGAGAAACAAGAGAGGCAAGACTCTATGACGAGAATATCACACGAGAGAAAACCTGTACCACAGATCAAAGGCAAGAACTCTCTATCAATGACAATGGAGGTAAGTAACTGTAAAAGGTCCTAGCTTTTAAGGTCACAATGTCCATGGAGATAACTGTAATGCAAATTACTCTTGTGGCAAATGCAGAAACAATATCAAGATTTGAAGAGTAGAAACGATAGTTTCAAGTCGTTTAAGGAGGAGAGGACTCCTCAGGGACCAGTTCCTGATTATCAAAATATGCAGCACAACAGAAACAATCAAACTGGTGGGAGAATTTCACACTCAGGTCCATTGATGAGCAACCGAAACATGGCTAAGTCAACAATGCATGTGAAGGAGAATGCACTTCCTAGATACCCTCCAGCTAGAGTGAACCCGAAGATGTTATCGGGCTCGGTCTCCTCCAAAACATTGTTAGATCGACAAGATCAACCAGTCATGAATCAAAGAAGAAGAGATCGACGAGCATACAATAGAGCTGATACTATGGATAGTAGACATATGACAGCACCAATTGACCCATGTTGGGTTAGTTAAATGATCTCTGTTTTTCATTTTTTTACTTTTAGAGCAGTTTTTTTTTGCTTTACTAACATTGTTGTGTTTTCTGTGTGTACAGTATAATCCTAGTGATAGCAAGATTTACATGTCAGGACCATCGTTAGATCAGCCAAGTAGAGTGGACCAGATGCTTGAAGAACATGACAGACAGCTTCAGGAACTTAATAGACAAGCAAACAAGACACCACAAGGCTGAATTCATTGGAAGAACCAAACTATGTATCAAAGCATTGACCTTTCTAGAGCAGAACCAGTTGAGTCAGATTTGTCATAAGATTTGTTGGTATCATAAATTGTGTTGATGCGATCGGCTCAAGGATTGTTCGAATAGAGTACTGTATTTAAAGAGTCTTCATAGAGTTCGATGTATGTACATATATACAAAATCTCATTACATTTATTATATACTAAATTGATTGTTGTTCTTGTGTAATTATACGGTTCAATTGTAATATTTTAGTTGCCTCAGGATCATAATCATCGTCTCATTGCAGCTTTTGAGAGCAACCGTAGATTCAAATTGAATTATCCAATTCTTAGGCCATATTTAACGCTGAAACACTGGGCCTGTTCTTACAGTTTTTTAATAATTAAAAGTGGGTTTCGAGGGTTAAGAACTGAAGAAGTGATCTTGGGCGAGAACTGTTTCAAGGGTGTTCTCCGGGTGACGTGTCCGTCTCTGAGTGGGTAGCATTTTAAGTGTTGGGCTTTTTTTTTTTAACCCGACAAATGAGTTTTTTTTTTAAGTGTTTAGTTTTGTAATGTTTTTTTTTAAGTGTTTAGTTTTGTAATGTTTTCAATTTCAAATTTTTTTTTTTTTAATTTTAAAAAAACATTTAAAGTTTTTGATTATTAAATTATTATTTCCTATGTTCTAAACATGTTCTACCAATAATCACTTACTTTACAAAAGTTCTTATTTAATGCTCTAACAATATTTTAATATTTTTTTCCTCCTAAGAACAATCTTCAATGTTATACCCTTGCATATGCCCTTAAGAAACTTAGAATTAATGTAATCCATCTTAAAAAAACATAAAATTCAATTTCAAACAGACAGAAAAAATTGTTTTTGAAACGAAAAATATATAAACTGAAGATCAGAATATGATGTCATTCTCATACACAGAATCTGTGTCAGAAGGTGTCCTAAGATTTATCTGATTTCTCATCATTTCTCCAGTAATACGATTTTCATTACCAAAAGATACAAACCAATTGAAACAAAAACGCCGAGAGAATTTTATAAAACCGTCAAGCAAGAAAAAAAAAAAAAATCCAACATTTGTAAGAATCAGAAAGAACGTAGCGAGTTGAAGTTTTTATCGATCATATGAATCAAAAGATCATCACCGATATACAGTAATACAACTTTCATCATATTCTACACAAAAACCTTTTGAAAATCGAATAATTCACCAAAAAACATTAGAGAAATAAAAAAACAAACACAAGATTGGGTTGAATCGACGACTGGTGACTTTTCTCGGCGTTTACAAGAAGGAGATCGCTATATATATAGGAGACGAAGAAGAAACCCTAAACCCTATACGATTTGGGCTTCTCTTGGATTATACTATTCGGAAGCCCATTACTACTGCCACAAGTACAATTTATTTACCTTTTAGCCCCTAATTTTATTCTAATTATAATAACAGCCAGTAAGTTTTCAAATTTCTAAAAGTTACGACTTTATTCAGTTTCTCGATCTCTCGCAACGCGTTCGATTAGCGATGTCGTTGTTACACACTTTCAAAGAGACCTTGAAGCCCTGTGGTAATTTTCCATCATCATCATCGTTGCGAGTCTCATCTACCCAAGAATTTGAACCATCGAGAAAACCTCCCAAATCGTCTCTCTCACAGCAGCTACTGCGTCTCGACGATTCTTACTTTTTACCCTCCAAGCACGAATCTAAAATCTCTAAAACCCAAGTCGAAGATTTTGATCGTAACGAAGATGATCACAAAAGAAACATCAAGTTTGACGAAGAGGAAGAAGATGATGAAGACGATGAGAAATCAATTGAGTTCGGGAGACCCGGGTTAAGCCGGGCTGAATTTGACTATTCCGGTCCTTATGAACCACTTTTGCTGTCATCAATTGGAGAGATTCCGATCATACAGGTTCTTTTCTTACGAAAGTCTTTAGCTTTTGCTCATGTTGATGGTTCTTCTCAAATTCTGGAAATTATTTGAATTTGCCTTATGATTTGGTGTAGGTACCGGCTTCTATCAACTGTAGATTGCTTGAACATCAGCGAGAGGGAGTGAAGTTTATGTATAATCTCTATAGAAACAACCACGGTGGCATTCTTGGCGATGACATGTGAGTTCTTCTTTCTTGTTCTACAATAAATGGCTCTGGTTTGAATGTTCATGAGAATGTTCTTGCGCATTTGAATATGTAGCTGTAATAGTTTATGTTTGGGTGATAATGGAACCCTGATATTAAGTTTTGACTCAGGGGATTAGGCAAAACCATTCAGACAATTGCATTTCTTGCTGGAGTGTATGGAAAAGACGGTGACGCTGGTGAGACGTCTCTTTTAGAGTCTGATAAGGGTCCTGTACTAATAATCTGTCCGTCTTCGATTATTCACAACTGGGAGAGTGAGTTTTCTCGATGGGCAAGCTTCTTCAAGGTTTCGGTGTACCACGGATCAAACCGAGATATGATTCTGGAGAAACTCAAGGCACGCGATGTTGAGGTACTTGTAACCAGCTTTGATACGTTTCGAATCCAAGGCCCCATTTTGTCCGGGATTAATTGGGAGATAGTGATTGCTGATGAGGCACACCGGTTAAAGAATGAAAAATCGAAACTTTATGAAGCATGCCTTGAGATCAAGACTAAGAAGAGGATTGGTCTCACGGGTACAGTGATGCAGAACAAGATCAGTGAGCTATTCAATCTTTTTGAGTGGGTAGCACCGGGATCACTAGGCACTCGTGAACATTTCCGAGAATTCTATGACGAACCACTTAAGCTAGGGCAAAGAGCTACTGCCCCGGAAAGATTTGTCCAGATTGCAGATAAGAGGAAACAGCATTTGGGCAGTCTTCTGCGTAAGTATATGTTGAGGAGGACAAAGGAGGAAACCATTGGGCATCTCATGATGGGGAAAGAAGATAATGTAGTCTTTTGTCAAATGAGTCAATTGCAGAGACGGGTTTATCAAAGAATGCTGCAACTCCCAGAAATTCAGTGCCTTGTGAATAAGGACAATCCGTGCGCTTGTGGAAGCCCGCTTAAGCAATCAGAGTGCTGCAGAAGGATTGTTCCTGATGGAACTATCTGGAGTTACCTTCATCGAGACAACCCCGATGGTTGTGATTCTTGTCCTTTCTGCTTGGTGCTTCCATGCCTTTTGAAACTTCAGCAGATAAGCAATCATCTGGAGCTTATTAAACCTAACCCAAAAGATGAGCCAGAGAAACAGAAGAAGGACGCAGATTTTGTATCTGCAGTGTTTGGGACAGATATTGATCTAGTAGGAGGAATTTCCGCAAGCAAGAGCTTCATGGACCTGAGTGATGTTAAACATTGTGGGAAAATGAGAGCTTTGGAGAAGTTGATGGCTTCTTGGATTTCAAAGGGTGATAAGATACTTCTATTCAGTTACTCCGTCAGGTTAGTTTTTGGATTTAATTACTGGTTTTGATGAATTTAGGAGAATATATGTCGTTATAAGCCTTTGATCCACTAAATTACAGGATGCTGGACATACTGGAGAAGTTTCTAATTAGAAAAGGTTATAGCTTTGCAAGACTTGATGGTTCTACTCCGACCAATCTGCGACAGTCTCTTGTAGATGATTTCAATGCAAGTCCTAGCAAACAGGTTTTTATTAACCGACCCTATCTGAAAGAGATTGTCTTTATTCTTACCAACCTCTGAACTGATGGTCAAATGAGCTTTTATGTGTCAGGTTTTTCTGATATCAACTAAAGCTGGTGGGTTGGGACTAAACCTTGTGAGCGCGAACCGTGTGGTTATATTTGACCCAAATTGGAACCCATCTCATGACTTGCAAGCGCAAGATAGATCATTTCGGTATGGACAGAAACGTCATGTGGTGGTTTTTCGTTTGTTGAGTGCTGGTTCCCTTGAGGAACTAGTTTATACAAGACAAGTATACAAACAACAGCTCTCAAACATTGCGGTTTCAGGGAAAATGGAGACAAGGTACTTTGAAGGCGTTCAGGTATGTAAAAGTATAGAGTCTTTAATTTATTAGTTTCATTAAAGAGATTGTTCTCTCTTCTAATGTTTTGGTGCGTCTTATGATTAGGACTGTAAAGAGTTTCAAGGCGAACTATTTGGGATTGCAAATCTGTTCCGCGATCTCTCTGACAAGCTCTTCACTAGCGATATTGTTGAGTTGCATAGGGATAGTAACATCGATGAGAATAAGAGATCATTGCTTGGGACAGGTGTTTCAGAAGATGAAAAAGAAGAAGAGGTCTTGTGCTCGTATAAACCCGAAATAGAGAAACCTATCCTTAAGGACTTGGGTAAGTATAAGACTGATCTGTGCTCATCTCTCATTGACTACTTTTTGTGATAAGTCTTTTAAATCTTTGCTCGGGCTTGTGTGACTATTTATAGGCATTGTGTATGCACATCGAAATGAAGACATCATCAACGGTGGAGAGACGACAATATCAACATCTCAGAGGCTAAATGGAGACAGTGACAGTGATGAGAACTTAGAGTGTGTGGATCGAAAGAAGAAGAAGAGAAAAGGTTGTAGTGAAGAGGAGGATATGTCTTTTTCAAACCGGGAACAAAAACGAGAGAAGTACAAGATGTTAGCCGAGTTTAAAGGCATGGAGATATTAGAATTTAGTAGATGGGTATTGTCAGCTTCTCTATTTGATAGAGAGAAGCTACTTCAAGACTTTTTAGAAAGAATCAAGTAACAATATCAGATTTCTTGATGTAGATTTTGTTAATTAACTGTGTATATTAAAGCTTACAAGATGCACACATTTGCATGTGTTCTTACTTCTTACTCAACAAAAAATTGTACACAGAACTGACTGGCTACCTTCTCTGCGCCTTGAATCTTGACACTGGTTTAGACGGTTGAGACACAGAAGACTGTTGACATATAACAAACAAACAAACAAACAAAATGTATTAAGAATCATGTTCCCTGCATTTGTGAGTGTTGTGTAGTTCGTGTGGTTAAAGGGTACCTGCGTTTGGCTGTGTGTGCTGGTCTCTAGAATATGGGCATGCTCTACGATTGATCCAGTAAAAGCCTGCACGAGTTGGATAAGATATTTAGTGAGCTTAAAGGAAAATCAGATCTACCTGAGCAACTATACAACTTGCTAACGCTTGAGCGAAAGAGATATGTATGTAACCTTGGTAGAATCAAACTCGGGCTCTGGCTTCTCTATAGGTGACTGCACCAAAAAAAAGTTGGCATGATTATTTGTGAGATGCTTGTAAAGGTTAAGTTTTGTTGTAGAAAGATATATGCATAATGCAAGGTGTTTCCATGGGTTTCCACGTATAGCTTATAGTATAAGATCCACATACCTCAATCTTTTGTGGTCCTAAAACATTGGTTTTTGCCTTTGCTGTGGAAATAGCAGCGGTCGCCTGAAAGTCTCTCCATGTTCCAGGGTTTTGCTGGGCAGTTCCGCTACGAGATTGATCTCCTGGTAATAAAAGAACGTAGATGTTGGTTAGAGAACGTTTTCAGGAAGATGATTCAGTGTTGCATATATTAATTTGACATTTTTCTTGATGTCTGAAATGCTTTAGATCATAACACTAACCTTTGGGAAGATATTGTGCCATTGGTCCCATAAACTGCCATAATGCAATAACAGGTAATATCTGAGAAGGAGCTGTGAAACGCTAATGAAAGAAGAGAAGATCACAATGAAAGGTTTTTCTTACATTCAGTGAATCATCTAGATCTTTGTGTGGGTGTGTCTCTGGTAACACTTGAATAACTTTGGCTTTGACTCTTGACTGGATTAAAAGTAAGTAAACATTAGGGAAAACCATTAACCATAAACATGAACCCAGATGTGAAATTGCCTTGGAAAATACCTCTGAAACCCTCGGTTCGCGAATGGAAGAGCTATGGCGTGAAGCTTTCATAGGAACAGATATGGTAGTTTCTTGTTTCCCATATTCAATCCTACCACGGTCTGTCTCACCTCTAATTCCTTTCACCAAATCATGCTGGCTCTCCTCCAAACTTTCAATTGGAGAATCATGTTCTTCACCTCTATCGCCCCCATCTTCACCTCTATCGCCCCCATCTTCACCCTCCTGTTCTTCTTCCATTTCAAGTTCATTCAACCTGGACATGATTCTTGCAAAGTCATCGTCTTCAAGTTCACCTTCTTCAGCCTCTCCTC